CACCAGCCCTCCCGCCTCCTCCTCACGCGCTCCCCCACGACTTCCTACCCCCTTACCGTCACCCTCGTGCGGACCAACGCTCTATTTCCCAGGCAGACGAGAAAAACCAAGGCGGCTGTCGCGAGATTTCCTCCTCCCGTCACTCACTCTGGGGGGGAGGAACCGCTCTAGGGACAGAACGCGTGGCGGGGACGAGTCACTTCCGGTTGGCATGGGAACGGCCCATTATCTTAGAAGCGCTCCTGGGGAGCCATAGGCGTGCTAAAGTTTTCCCCACCCTTTTGCAAAATGTATATTAGGTGGCCCCGCACGAGCAGTGTGGTTCTGGGAGCATGGCGTTGTTTTCATGAACGAGTGGGGGCGGGGCAGTTGTGCGCGGCTGAAGATCTCTCGCAGCGTAATTCCAATTTTGCACCAGCTGAACTTCTATCAGGAAGTTGCTAATCTCAGTTCAAAGTGCTGATCTTAGTCTTCTAAACCTTGAACACGTTGTGACGTCAAAGGCTTGCGACATCCCGTCCCTCTATAAATTAGTGACCCCCCACAAAAAAAAGGTCTTAACATTTAAAGCCCTGATCTTGCAAACTCATGGCCGTGGTTTCCTTTATTCAGCCACTCCATCTCATGTTTCATTTTCCTTTCCTCAGCATTATTGTCTTGGGTTTTCAGTAAATGCCTCAGGAACAAGCTTTTTGACTGGCTGCCTTCAACCACTGAAGTGCCTGTGGTTAAGATTGGTCAGAACGATTAACATATGAGATCTTTTAAGGTGCTGGCCCCATAGGAGTGGAACTCCCCGCCAACGGGCATACAGATTGCCCCTTCAATATGGGCATTTAGCTAAGCCTTTATGACCTTTTTGTTGTTGCTTAGTCATTAAGTCGTGGCCGACTTCGTGACCATGGACCAGAGCATCCCAGGCCCTCAGATGTCTTCCACTGCCTCCCAGAGTTGGGTCATATTCATGTTGGTCACTTCGATGACACTGTCCAACCATCTCGTCCTCTGTCGTCCCCTTCTCTTGCCCTCACACTTTCCTAACATCAGGGTCTTTTCCAGGGAGTCTTCTCATGAGATGGCCAAAGTCTTGGAGCTTCAGCTTCAGGATCTGTCCTTCCAGTGAACACTCAGGGTTGATTTCCTTTAGAATGGATATGACCTTTTTACACCCTGCAAATGCAGTACTGCATAGGCATTTTGCTAGGAGCAGCTCATTTGAGAAACCTGCAATTTAAATTTCATTACTGTAAAAGAAGCTGCAAGAGCTATTTAAATAACAAATGTTTGCAAAAAGTAATCTAAATAACAAGAGATTGATTTAATGATGATGGAGAAAGAGAAACTGGGGAAGAACCTTATGTAAATTATGCTTTATCTTCCAGTAAATATTGGCAGGACTTCAAATCAACCTGATAGTTCATTGAACACTGATGACCGTTTTGTGGTTTGCCACCAAATTTTGGTAGCAAACCATGTTTGTTTATTTATTTTAAAGGCTTGAGCACTGCATGCTGCCCAAGGGCTGCAGCTTTATAGCAGGTCCACTCCTACAGATCCTGTTGATTGAAAACAGCCTCCCCTCCCCGTTTCTGGATTTGGAGTCAAAGTGAACCTTTCATTTCGATGTGTGGCGTCATGAAGAAGCAGAACCATGAGCCATCATGGCAGCATAACCCTCAAAATTGGCTGGGTGCTTCTACAATCAATGTACTGTAGTATGTCAACAATCCCTCAGAATTGCTTTGGTCTTTGGAAGTTGAAGGACTGTGCTACCCTGTTACTGGTGCTGCTGTTTTCTCCCCTTTAATGGACCTGGGATCCAGCCTAGGCATGCCACGGCTGCTCCACTCCTTATCCTTGTCCTGGAGGGTAGACAGTGGACATAGTGTCGTGGCATCCTCTTTTCTTTATTTGAAAAGTGCTCTTTCTTTTGGAGGAGCTTCACAGTGGCAGTCTTTTTAAAAAAAAATTGGGTGGGGTTGAGAGTGTGGAAGTACTGTACTTTGCTTCATTCCTCAAGCAACAGGATAGTTCAAGCGCAATGGGGAGCTTGCCTGAAAATAAATAGTGCTGCTCTTTATTTTCTTGATACTTTCCAATCAACTCACCTCTAAATTTGGTATCTTCTAGATTTTATCACCCTGGGGCAAACCCTTGCCCTAACTGCAGCTCTAAGGCACTGAGAGACTACTAGGATTTACATGTAAACTGTTTTTATTCCATACAAGAGAAAAAACAAGGTATAAAAATAATAACACATCACACAAACACTATTTAAATATTGTATTGATGGGGCATTGATAGTGGTAATGGTGTTCCGTGTCTAGTCGCACTGGCCACGTGACCACGGAAACTGTCTACGGACAAACACTGGCTCTATGACTTGGAAACGGAGATGAGCACCGCACCCTAGAGTCAAACATAACTGGACAAAATGTCAAGGGAAACCTTTACCTTTACTATCATGTTTGAATGAGCCCTCAGGCCAAAGGTCATTTGAACTGATCCAGCTATTTTTTTAAATGAAGTAACTGGCAACATCCCCCAGCTAAACTGGGACTGCAGCATGTATGGGAAAGCTTTTTAATCCTTTCCTCCATCACAATCCTGTCTAGACCATCCCCCATGTTATTTACAGAGGAAAAACTTTCATTGGCACTCATAGTGAGCTGCATTAGCAGCTACAAAAGGCTAATGACTTATTTCCTCAGTCCATGGCCCTAATGCAGTGATGGTGAACCTTTTTGAGCCCGAGTGCCCAAACTGCTTCACAAAATCAGCTAATTTATTTCAAAGTGCCAATACTGCAATTAAAACCCGAATGCTGAGGTTTTAGTTTAGAAAAAACTGCTCCTGCACTGCAAGGGTTAAATGCTTGTTTTCCCCCGCCCCCCCCCCAATGGGCAGTATTAACAAAGAAATACTTACTGGTCCTCCAATCCCCCATTGGGTTAGACCAGTAATGGTCGCCATTGCACCCCTCCGCTGGACCAGCAGAGGGGAGTGCTGAAAATCCAGGATCAGAGGGCAGGTAAGAATTTCTCTATGGTGACTTATGGCTCGTGTGCCCACAGAGAGGGCTCTGTGTGGTAGCTGTGGCACGCATGCCATAGGTTCGCCATCACTGCCTTAATCAGATATCCACCCACAATTTGGGTGGGAAGGCTGTTAATTAGAAAACAATTTGACAGTGTCACACTGCATGACAATTGTCATTTCTAATTTTTCCCTTGGAGTTCCAGAGAATCTGTCATTCACATTCACTGGCCTCTGATGTCACCTTCAGGGAGTTTATTCCAGAGAGGCTTTCTAGAACTGCATCTAAATTGATAATGAATGTCTAATAAAAATAAAAGTTTTATAATAAGGTGATATGATTTCTTGAAACTGTACATTCAGGCAGGCAACCTGAGGGCAAACATTTGGTTTGAAAGTTTATGAGATATGAAACAAAGCCATCTTCCAGCTTGGAGTAATTTTGTTTCACATTTTAAATTGTCGGTTTCTGAGAAACATTAGGATCTTATACTTATTTATGGACTTTATAGCGTGTAAGACAATTGAAAGCTCCTTGGCAAAAGAAAAGCACAAGAAATCCAACTTAATATAAAAATCAATTTAAGATAAATGATCCTTAGGTCTTAAAGTATTAGATTTTAAAGAAACATTTTCAGAATAAACATCACCTCATTATACTACAAAAGTTAGTAAAAAATGACCTTGAATAAAGCAAACATGATTCCTTGTTTCAGTTTCATCCTTAAATGTAGACTTGTAGAAACTTATTTGCAATGTGGCAGGAATGTTTTAGTACATACATTTAGATTAGATGATGCCATAACAGTGGTTATGGCTATTTTTACTGATCTTTTTCTTCACTTCGTTGGATGGTAATTGTAGCATGCATCCTTTGGACGTGTGGGTTCCCTGTTCAAGGACCTAGAACCAATTTCATATCGTAACAGTTGGCTGGCAATAAAGTTATTTGTTTTGTTTTGCGTGGTATTTGGAAGGATATGTGCAACAGTAAAATTTTAACACAACATTATTAGAAGTCTTTAAGAAGTCTTGGGCCTTTTTCCATATAATCCTCAATTGGTTTAACTGCCACACTCTGATGGAACCTCAAGGATTTTGCAGGAAACCAGAAGGGACAATGCAGAGTTCAATCCACCTTTATGACAACTTGTAGTCACTACAGCAAGTGGCTTGTGTGTGTGTGTGTGTTTTTGGTAAAAAGTGAGGTTTACATGTCCTTTGCAAATGTGTACTGTTCTACCCAGAAAGTGACCTATGATGTGGGTTGGTACAGTGACTCAGGATGATGTGGTGTCAGTGGCCAAAGTTGACATTTCTCCAGGGCTTCCTTCTCATAGAGTCCAGATGGTATCACCATATTTCAAGGAAAGAAAAGGATTGTGGAGACCTTTGCAGAGTTTTGAATTTTGGTTTAATTCCTCTAGCTGTGCAGCAGAAGTGCAGGGATTCACAGAGCAGAAAAAAATTCAAGTTCCCCAGAGTAGACGACCCTCTTTTCAACTGGGACTTACAATCTCAATAATTCACTCTATTTGAAGTAGAAAGAACAAAAAAAAATCATCTTTTCTTATAGTTGAACAGATCAAAACAGCAAACTGACAAAACATGGCTGCTTTGAGCAACAGACCTCAACAGACTCACTGCTTCTAACAGACAGACTGACTCCTACAGACAAAGGACAGGGGAGAAAAGCTCTTAGCAGAGAGGCATGGCTCTGGGTTCAGAGGCATGGAAGGAATAATTGCTTAGTGCTGGATAGGCTGACAGTGCCCTTTGCCCAGGAAGGTCCCTCCCAGCCAGACCTGGCTCTGCTGGAGTTTTCTCAACCTACAATAGGCAGCATGTGAGGATGAAAAAACTCCAACAGCTGAGAGAACAGCTCAAAAAGCACTATCACGATGGCATACTCTGGAGTAGAGATGGGCACGAATCAGAAAAATTATGATTAATTTTGATTCATGATTAGTCAAGGTTGATGAATCACAAATTACAAATTTACGATTTTTCTGATTAGCTAAATTTGTTTTTGAATTTAAAACCCAATAAAATGCCCCCCAAAAGCCCTAGAGATACCAACATTGTTGGAAGGCTTCCCCTTATTCTCCTCAACAAGCCACCTGCATGTTTGG